GTCTTTTCCCAAGACCTGGAAGAGGGAAAGAAGAGGAAGTTCTAGTCCCTTATGCATCCTTTCAACACTGTCTCTGTGGAATTTACAAAATGTCACTCCATGGCACCATTGATGTATTGTAATATTCCTCCAGGCACAAAAGAATACAGTATTTTGAAATGCTGCTGTAGAAGAATGGTTTCAGATTTTTTTGTGTGTGTCAGGAGAGACTTGAGAAACTGCAAGTCGCTTTTGGTGTGAGAGAATTGGCCGTTTGCAAGGACGTTGCCCAGGGGATGCCTGGATGTTTGATTCTTTACCATCCTTGTGGGAGGCCTCTCTCATGTCTCCGCATGGGGAGTTAGAGCGGGCAAAGGGAGCTCAACCCGCTCTCCCTGGATTCAAACTTCTGACCTGTCAGTCAGCAGTCCTCCTGTTACAATGGTTTGTGCCACTGGGGGCTCCATGTCTTCAGATTGGGAACTAGTCTTGGCAAATTATCCTCAGATCTGAACATTAGACATGCTACTTTATTGAACATCTCCTTCTTCTTTGTATTTGCAATTTTTTTTAACAACAGATAAAAGGCATAGATAAAATTTACAAAACACAAAAGTTAAAAAATAAACAAAGTTTAAGAACCAGTTAATAGCATTTACCATTTTTATTTAAAACAATAGCAGAACAAAAAAATCCCAGAAAATCCAGCAAATCATTTAGGCAGGATAAGCTTTGAACATTCAGTCCCTAAAGGCCTGTTAGAATAGAAAAGTCTGCAGACTGAGAATAGGGAAAGTGTCAGTAAAGGGTCCTAGAGTCTGAAGGCAGTTTTTGAGGGGAAATGCAGTCCTTCAAATAACCTAAACCGCACAAGGCTTATAGGTCAAAACCAGCATTTTGAATTATGTTCAGAAATGGACCAGCAACCAGTGGAGCTGATTCAACAAAGGAGTTGCAAGCTCCTGGAATCCCCTATCCACCACAGATACTTTTCATAGTAAAATGCACTTTTTTCCAACTTCATGATCCCAAAGACAAACTACTTACAGATAATAATGCTATCTATAATGTATTACTCCTAAGTTCTGTTATAGCATGTACTGTGTATACTTGTGTATAAATTGTTCTCATGTATTATTGAAGGGCAGATCTTTGGGCCACAATTATGGATTTTGATATGACCTTTAGATATGTCGAGGGTTATTCCTCAGGGAAGAGAAGTGGCAGCATTACCTTGGGGGGGGGGGCACTCCCACCACTATTTTCCCACTCAAATACGTCAGAAGTGGCCTGTAGCAGAGGTAACAGAGAAGGCTGGTGCTTCTTTTAGATTCTTCTGTGATGATCTATTTATTTATTTATTTATTTGCTTACTTACTATACAATATTTCTATCCCACTCTATCTCACCCCAAGGGGGACTCAGAGCCGCTCCCAATTTTGACAATTATTCAATGCCACTATTACATAAAAAGCAACAATGAGTAACACAATTAAACTGTTAATGGCCTAAGCTCTTGGTTTTTGTTTTTTGTTTTTTTATTGGGGGGGGGGGTTTGCCACACTACTCAAAGGTTATTCTTTTTTCAATTAGAATTAAGGTACAATATTTATATTGACCTATGAATAAGTTAATCCAGGTGTTTGGTTCGGTTTTTACAGTTAAGTTTCAATGCATACACAGAACATTTACAGTACCTTTTTTCATTTGGTTGCCTTAGTCCCTCCTGTTTCTATACCTTTGCAGTGATGTGGAATTATAGCCATTTTTAAACTTTGACTTACCAGGAGAAGCTGGTTCTGAGAAGTGCCATTTTGATTTCCACATGGTACCTTAGAACAACTCTACATTAAATACTTAGTGATGAATTGAAATGGCAGGTCCCCAAATGAGCTTCTCCGTGGTGGGGTGGGGCACATCAAAGAAGGCTCAGTAGTGGATTCTGCCAAGTTTCTTAGGCTGTGGCAGTTCTCTAAAGGTGTTGCATACTGACACCAATCCGATTGCTGTATAGGACAAGTCATTTATGTAAAATAGTTGCTCACCACAGGTCTGCTAGACATTACGATACTGTTTGTGAATCTATGCTCCAATCGGTTGCACTTTGTGGCATGTCTCACACAACAACCTGTTGCATGTAATTGGGTTTGCACTATTTAAAATGTATGTACTGTTAATGTTTGCAAAGACAGTCACACAGCATTAGCCAAAACAGAGTTTATTAGGTCTTTAAAATCCCTTTCCTAGCTCAGTGCAACCATGAGGCATATATGATGGCCTGCCATGTGCACCTTCTTGCAGGTGACAAAATTTGGAGGTATATTGAACTCCTGGTGAGTGATGCAAACTGAGAGGACTCATGTTGGCTTTGTGTGTTGTGTCTGCCTCTCACCGATGGAATTCTACTAGCTTTACATGGTGCTACTCTAACTCTGTTTGAATTGCATCATTGTTATCATGCTCCTCAGCCAAAAAAACAAAAACAGAACAAAAGTGTGTGTGTATGTGTGTTCCTGGAGCAGCTTATGTCCTATCTATAGCTACTTGCCGGTCTAAAACTAGAATGGGAATTGCAAAGCTTCCAGACGTTGTTAGACTTCAAATACAAGCAACCAAATGATGAGGAATGCTGGATGTGAGGAAAAAAAGAAGTTATCTTTTAGTAAGACTGTTGAAATTATTCTCCTTTCTTTGTGGTGCTTTCTATCATGTCCTGTTGGAAGAACTTCCAGTTGAGCGAGAAGCCTTCAGGGAGATGTTGTTTCAACCAGGGTGATAGAATCATTGTGGTTTCCATTTTATCTATCTCTGCTATTTCTCAACATCCACTTTTTATGTATATGAACTGGATTTAATTACTCAGTTGAGTTCTATAAGTCAGCCTCTAGGCAAGAACACGATATATTCTCTTTTTCTTTCTCTATCGTACATGTGGGGACACACGTGCACACACACTTCCTTAGATTTGGAATGATCATGACTCCAGATTATTTCTTCTGCAGCTAGATTATTTCCAGCTATTCAGAAACAGGAAATGCTTTGTGAGCTGACAATGTAAACTGACAAAGAGTTTGACTAAACATTTGATTGATGCCTCACCTATTGAAATTTAGCCTTTAGGTTTAGCTTTGAAGTTTATCCTTGCACTATATATAAGGAAGATCTTGAACATCCTGTTTTAGTGGTGTTTTCTTGTTGCATTGCTATGGAGAAGGAGGCAGAAGACATTTTGGTTAGAATGCCCTATTACTCAAAACATTTCTAACATAGTTTTATTCAGACTTCAGTTCTTCACAAAACAACCTTGAGTCAACTATTAAGTGGAATGAGGTATCCTCCTGAGGCATGAGATGCTGGCATTCAGGGTGTGGTGGCAAGATGTTGGAGGAGTGAAATGTGTGTGATATGAGTCTAAGATAGCCTGCTGCCCTAAAGTACAGTGGAGGTTGCTGACCGTTAGTATTCAGCTATGATGCAAGTGCCAATCAGGACAGCTTATATAAATAGAATTCTGTGTGAGACCCAGGACCTTTTTGTACTAGGAAATTATAGCAGGATGATCCCACTTTTACTGTCTTGAATGTATCCTATGGAATCTTAGGGTTCATAGTTTGGTGATGTACTGGAGCATTCTACCTATGAGAATTTGACATCTGTGTTGTATATGCCTTCAAGTCATTTCTGACCTATGGTGACCTCAGTGTTTTCTTAGCAAGATTTGTTCTCAAGTGTCCCATTGCCTTCCTCTGGAGCTGAAATATTGTGATTTACTCAATTCAAACTCTAGCCTCCAGAGTCATAGTTCAATGCTCAAACTACTACACCATGCTGGCTTGCCCTTCCTAAATCCCAAGATTCTATAGGATGCAATCCAAGTAGTTCAAATGGAATCAGAGTGCTAGAATTATGTGTGAAGTGTCCCACCCTGTTGTTGCTTTTCACAGGTATAAAAATGTTGCTGACTTCCCAATTAATACCCAGATTTTTTATTTATAAGGGGTCAGTGTTTAAATTTGTTTTCTGTAAGTAACCTAGATTTCAGCATTCTTAATAAGATTAAGGACTGCTGTGTCTTTAACTTTGTATGTCCTAGAATAATTGAGTTGGAAGAGATCTCATGGGCCAGCCAGTCCAACCTCATTCTGCCAAGAAGCAGGACAATCTCATTCAAAGCACCCCCAACAGATGGCTATCCAGGTTCTGTTTAAAAGCCTCCAAAGAAAAGCCTCCACCACACTCCAGGGCAGAGAGTCCCACTCCTGAACAGCTCTCACAGTCAGGAAGGTCTTCCTAATGTTCAGGTGGAATCTCCTTTCCTGTAGTTTGAAGCCATTGTTCCGTGTCCTGGTCTCCAGGGCAGCAGAAAACAAGCCTGCTCCCTCCTCCCTATGACTTCCCCTCACATATTTATACATGGCCATCATGTCTCCTCTTAGCCTTCTCTTCTGAAAAAATGAGAAAAAAGTAGAAATTTAGGTCACTGAACACAACATACCTGATGTCTGCATCATTGTTGTATATTTTTCAAGTAGATTTCAAATTGTAGCAATCCTATGATTAATTCCTATCATTTCTTGGCAGGATTTGTGCAAATAAGGTTTGTCTGTATTATAGTATATTATACTGATGTTTTATTTATTAGAAGAGTTATATACACAGAAGGAGGTGGGAGAGAAAATGATTTCTAAAAAATCCAGCATTTCATCATAATAACCACAGTTACTAAACAAGATCAACATTCTGTACCTGAATTTGTTCTGGCCCTGCAATGTAAAACCACAACAGTTAATAGACGATTGTGCTTTCCCCCATTTAACAGCTTATGGGTCAAGGAAATTAAAAGAACCAAAACTCCCTTTAGTTATGAAAATCCTCTGTCTAGTTGCTGTCACCATAGGTGATCAGCCCAGCAACTATTTATAGCTTGTCTTGTACTCGGTCTCACACTACTTATATTTTGATTTGTCTTCTCTATTTGTTGATGAAATGATACTGATGTAACTGATTTGGTCTTTTGCCAGCTTCATGGTTACATGGACAATAAGCCCTTGGGCCTTCAGATCTTCATTGGAACAGCAGATGAGCGGATTCTTAAACCACATGCTTTCTACCAAGTTCATCGCATTACGGGGAAAACAGTCACCACAACAAGCTATGAGAAAATCATTGGCAACACCAAAGTGCTGGAAATTCCCCTGGAGCCAAAAAACAACATGAAAGCAACGTAAGTGTGCTATCAGAGAAAGTGTCTTCTTGCAAGATATTTATAGAGCAAAATGTAATGTGCATGCAACAAAGAACCTGTATTTAATTTGAAACGAAAAGTATCACATGCAAAAGATTTACGTTCAGGCTTGAATGTACAGTTTGATTTGATCATGCAGTCATAGCTTAGTAACAGAACAAATTGTTGCATGTAAAATGCTCCTGGTTCAGTCATTCATATCTCTAGTTAAAATGGTTAGGTAGCAGGCTATGTCAGTTAGAGCAGGCAATACCGGCAAGGCAGATGAATCAATGCCAAATCAGTTTAAGGCAGTGGTTGTCAGCCTGTGGGTCCCCAGATGTTTTGGCCTTCAACTCCCAGAAAGCCTAACAGCTGGTAAACTGGCTGAGATTTCTGGAAGTTTTAGTCCAAAACACCTGGGGACCCACAGTTTGAGAACCACTGATCTAAAGTATATATTGTGATAGAAACGCGTATACGCCAACAAGATTCCATTTGAGTATTATGGCTCTTTCTGGATTAGAAACCACTGGATTGAAGCAATTAAATATTCATATGAGCAGTATGGCTGTTTCTGGATTAGATATGTAGTCCTGCTTTAACCAATGTATAATATTGTTTATTTAGTATTAAATTGTGTGGCAACTCCCATCCTTTTTTCTTTGTCCTTTTTTAAAAATTTGAGCCACAACTCTTGTTAGCCACAGCCAGAATAGCCCATGGTGCATCACACGCAAACACCTTCAGGGCCTGAGTTGTTTTAAATGGAGGCCTATACATCTCAAAATGTATGCTTAGCTATGAACATTTTAAAAAAAACGAACCATGAGAAAGTTCTCTTTCAATCCCTGGTAACAATCCGGTGCATAGCATTGTCTGCCTTGCAAGTGTACTTGGTAATTAAGTGATTGATCCCTTTGGTTTGAGATTAATTGATATTTCCTCTCTTTTTTGTTTTACAGTATTGACTGTGCAGGCATCCTCAAATTGAGGAATGCAGACATTGAACTCCGGAAAGGGGAGACAGATATTGGTCGGAAGAATACCCGTGTGAGGCTGGTTTTCCGTGTGCACATTCCTGAATCCAGTGGCAGAATAGTATCTCTGCAAGTCGCATCCAACCCCATTGAATGCTGTAAGCCACATTTTTGCTTTAATTCAATTGTTTTCATAACATAGAACTCATAAGCCTTACAAGATTGAAATAAACTTGCAAGGTAGTCAATCCAATCTCCTGCCCAAAGATAGCTGTGCTCCAGGGGCAAACATCCATGTGCAAACTTTACATTTATACTCAAGGCTGCATTGGTATATGTATTGAATGGGAGTAAGTCTCACTGAAGGCTTACAAGGCTTACAGAGTGCATTTTTCAGAGAAAGCTGCACATAATGAATAGTGAGGTGTTGTGATATCATTGAATCAGGGATCACTGGTGTACACTCAGGACAGATAAAAAGCTGAGATTTGGTATAGATGCTGTCAAAGACTGCCTGGTTATATGAAAGTCTGAAAATGAGATATTTTTACAAGTCTCAACCCTGAGTACATTGTAGCGGACTGCTTCCAGGCAGTACTCCAAGAGAACAAGACCAATCAAGCAAGCCATAAAAAGTGGGGGTGTGGGAGTTTCCCTTTTGTACACTTAATTAATCCCTATGTTGAAGAAGAGGGGATTTCCACTTAACATATGTAATGATCACAGAATGTGGTCTGTACTAACCCACTAGCCCTCACTTTCAGCAAATGTTCTCAGACTGGGGCCCACTAGCGTATGTTCACTTTCTTAGATTTCCCATTTCCAGCTATCATCCTTTTTGGTGTAGGAGGATTAACTCCCATCATGAGCTCTTTGCATTTCACAGGATTGGACCTGTAGAAGGGCCTCCATTCTGGCACATGCAGGGAGTCTTAGTCATCTTCAGAGTGTTTGCACTTATGAGTCTTGTTGATCATCCTGTGATGCTTTTTGTTAGTAACCCGACCTTTCTCAGTGGTTTGGGGATTTTACAGAATCATAACGAACCATTTTCACTTCTTTTATTGCATGACTCATATTAATCTACAAAACCCTGCTGTAACAATAAGCAGCCTGAGAAAAGTTGTTCAGACGATTTTGAGCAGTGTTGTGGCTTCTGACTACTGTAGCAATACTACAAACATATAGGTTGCAAAGCAAACCTCTGAAGAAATGTGATTAATTGGAAGGGTGTGCCTTTTTAGATACATCTAATCTGGAGTTCAATCCACTCTAGTATTTTCTTTTCCACTGTATCCTGCCACATACAAGCAGAACAGCAGGGTAGCTTTATTGTTTGCTGCTTTCACCTGTATAAAAATTGTCTACCTCTGTCCATGGATTTCACTGGCACGCAAACTAATGGAAGACGGATCTAGTTCTTAATGAAAAAGGAACCGGCCACCATCTATTCCAATAACTCTGTCTAAATTTTGGATAGTTACTTCTGTAAATTTAGTCACACTTTTCATGAAGCAGTTCTGATTCCAATATATATATGTCCTATCTCATTCTTCCCCATGTATTGTCAATACATAGTCATCTTGCATTTTGAACACTTTTAGAGGAATCCAAGAAGAATACATGTTCTGTCTCCCATTCTGTTTAACATATACATGAAAACGTTGGGAGAGGTCATCCAGAGTTTCTGCCCTAACCCTAAACTAGCATCTGTCATCAGTAATGGACTGGATGAGGGCAAACAAATTGAAACTTAATCCAGATAAGACAGAGGTACCCCTGGTCAGTTGTAAGGCAGACCAGAGAATAGGGATCCAAGCTGTGCTGGATGGGGTCACATTCCCCCAGGTCGGCGGTTTTGGGGTACTCCTGGACTTGGCGCTGAACCTGGAGGCCCAGGTATCTGTGATGGTCAGGAGGGCCTTTGCAAAATTAAAACTTGTGTGCCAACTGCACCTGTTCCTTGAGAAGCTGGATCTGGCCATGGTGATCCATACTTTAGTTACATCACATCTGGATTACTTAATACACTTTACGTGGGGCTACCTCTGAAGAGTGCCTGGAAACCCCAGCTGATCCAAAGACCTGCAGCCACATTGCTAACTGCTGCAACAGTAAAACCCTTCTGTTGCAGCAGCTCCACTGGCTTCCAGTCTGCTACTGGGCACAATTCAGAGTGCTGGTTATGACCTTTAAAGCCCTAGACGGTTCAAGTCCAGGCTATTTGGCTGACTGCATCCCCTTGTATGAATCTGAGATCTTCAGGAGAAGCCCTTCTCTCAGTGCCACCTCCATCTCAAGCTCGGTTGATGGAAACCAGAGAGAGGGCCTTCTTAGTGGCTGCCCCTCAACTCTGAAACTCCCTTCCCAGGGAAGTCAGAATGGACCCCCTCCCTGCTGTCCTTCTGCTGACAGGTTAAACCTTTTTATTCAAGGAGGCTTTTTAAAAAGAAGGTTTTTAAGATCATCAGGCGTTGCTTTGATTTTATATACTTTTAATGATATTCAAAACTGTTTTAATACTTGTATGTTTTTATATTTTAAGTTGTATTGCAATGCTTTAGTTGTGAGCTGCTTTGAGCTGCATTTATACACCACCTTTCTCATCCCGAAGGTGATGATGATTATGTACATAGCCCAGTGTCAATTCTGGAGGATTTTCCCAGTAGTTTGTCTATTATTCCTAGTAATTTAGGATAAAATTAGGTTCATGGTTTATCAAAGTCTCTAACCTCTTTGACACATTGGCAACGAAGATCCGCATAGTTAAAGCAATGGTATTCCCCGTAGTCACCTACGGATGTGAGAGCTGGATCATAGGGAAGGCTGAGCGAAGGAAGATAGAAGCTTTGAACTGTGGTGTTGGAGGAAAGTTCTGAACGGGCCTTGGACTGCAAGAAGATCCAACCAGTCCATACTTCAGGAAATAAAGCCTGACTGCTCATTGGAGGGAAGGATATTAGAGACAAAGTACTTTGGCTACATCATGAGGAGACAGGAAACCTTAGAGAAGACAGTGATGTTGGGGAAAATGGAAGGAAAAAGGAAGAAGGGCCGACCAAAGGCAAGATGGATGGATGGATGGCATCCTTGAAGTGGCTGGCATGACTTTGAAGGAGCTGGGGGAGGTGATGGCTGACAGGGAGCTCTGTCATGGGCTGGTCCATGAGGTCATGAAGAATCGGAAACAACTGAACAAATGAACAAAAACGATAACAACCTCTTTGAAACCTGAAGACGAGAACATTAGCACTATAAAACAATGAAACAGCAAGCTATCTTGATCACCAAGTTAACTGTTTGACTCATTACAAAAGTTTACTTTGGAAGATGGTCACACTTCATTAATGAAATAGGAGGTTGGGTTTAGTTATCTGTTTCCTTTTTGAACATTAATTGTTATTGTACTGTGTGTGTTTTTTTTCTATTTCCTTCTTCACATGCATTTATTGATGATGTTTCCTAGCTGCAGCCTTGCAGCTCTGTCTGCTTCTGTGAGAAGAAATGGCAGCTTTAATATAAAGCACACTAGCCAGCACTATTAAACCATAACCCCCTATTGAAATAGTTCTCAGAGGGATAATTCTTTTTAATGGATGAATTGTTGCATGCGGTTGTATTTTGGTTCATATGGGTAGGACTATAAAGCCTGGAGACTTGTATTAGCTCTGGAAATGGAAAGGAGAGGTTCCCCTCTCCAAGTCCTCCTATCAATATTTATGAGTGCTTTCCTTGCTCGTTTTTGCAGGCAGTGACTCTTGTTGAGGATAAATCTGCCTGCAGGATCCATCTAAAGCAGAAGTAATTTATAACATCCTTTAGAGACAGCATCATGAAATAGTCAAGTTTGAGTTAGCCGCTGGTGTTCCCTTGAGATGCTGGTTGCTAGCAACAGTGCACCTGAGAGCTCCCTTCAGTAGGGAGAAGATCAGCAGCTGCAATGAAGTGAGAATTGACATGAGTAAAGAGGTCATATTCCACTGTGTGTGCTTTGAGGGATGTGGTCCTCAGTAGTTCAAAGAGCAATTACAAGAATTTGGCATAGCATCCTAAAAAAACCTTGGTGTGTGGAAAGTACTGAGTAACCAGTTACATCTCCAAAGACATACTGTGCCTGATTGTGCATGTGAAATTGATGACTATGTTCAGTAAAAGAAAAATAAGTTCAATAATCATATATACCAATCCCAGGCTTTGCCTCTGAGCATAAGGTCTTCATGTCACTAAATACGTAGTCACAAACATGTTTCTTAAATGAAGGTCTGCCAACTTAGTCCAGAAGGTTAACTGACTGCTAATTAAATGCAGAGCCAGACTTTTCAGGGGCAGATCAGGAGGTGGGAGGTAATATTTAACTGTTTACGTGCCATTTGCTTTCCATTTTGCTGAAGGAAAAATAAGAAAAAATGGCCATTGAAGACATTTGAAGTAATTGAGGTTTGCCTTGTCTCAGCCTGTTGAAGTTAACTTTCCAAGGATAAAACACCTTTCTCCTTCCATCATGGAGTGCTTAATAACATTTCCTTGCAATTCGTTAATTATAAATATTGATAAAACATATTCCTTCCTAAAAAGAATCTCTTTGATTATTTTTGACATTTCCCTATTGTGTGCAAACTTGTTCTGTGCCAATGAATTTGAGTCACACACACACACACACACACACACACACACACACACACACACATATATATATATATATATATATATAATTTTTTTAAGTCAATTTCCTTGGAAGTTTCCTCTTTTTTATTTCTTTTCTCCTCCTCCAACCCAATTTTCCCAATAAAATTAGATATACTGGATTTATGATATGCAGCACTGTTGTAAACTCAGTGGAAAGAAACAGTTCAACAGTGCATTCATATTGACAGGTCCTCTACGGCTTTGTTAAAACTGAAAAAGCTAGCCGATAGATTGTCAACAGTAGATGAAAAGCTGGGTAAAAAGTAGTCACCCTCCTATCCCATCATCTTTTTCTGCAGACTACTGTGGGACCCATTATCCCTTTGTTTGCAAGTGGTACACTGTGAATGCTTTACAAATTATGTTAAAATTTCATAATTTATTAAGGGACCATAATTTGGTAGGTTACCCCAGTGCAGAATTTTCATCCTTCTTGCTCTGTTGCTGTAATGCTTGACACTGAAACATATAC